GTCATATACGTGGCCTGTTTTTTTTTTGCATTCGCATGTTTATTACGTATCTTAGAATAAATCTCCTTAAGCCAAAAAATAATCCGTTATAAAGAGAGGTATGTTCTTTAATCTCCAGTCACATTTAATCGTTTTTCTTCAGATACATTAAAGAAATTGTCAAACGTCCCCAATTTCCCTGTGAGATTACCTTGGAAATAGTTAATATACGCAGAAGTTCGTCAGCTAATATCCAATAAATGCACTTTTTAAAGAGGTAACCTATTATGGAAACTTTTTTAAATTAATTTTAGGAATATCAATGTGCGCGGTATCTAGCAGACATGCTGTATGCTCGAAAATGTGGTTTAATGTTTCGAAGCATTTCCACATTTGACCAACATGGCCATCTGCATAGGAAATAATATCCAAAAGTTTGTTTTTAGTAAATGCTGTTTAGTTATATCTTATTTTAAAGGGTTTGATGAAAACTTCGAATTATTTTAAAGGGTTTGATGTAAATGTCGAACAAACGGACAAATATTAAACTTATTGATGAATACACGGACAACTAGCGAAAGTAAGAGGGAATTTATTCAACGATATTCAATAACTAGGTATATAATCATTCCCACATATACAAAATATTTTGACTAAAGGCAAGTTCTTTTTGTATAAAGAAAGTGGTCGTTTTAAGTTTTATACTTAACAACCTATTTAAATTTATTGTTCTAATTTATAGCTACTTTTGACGTCTCCACAAGCTGGGAATTATCGAGAAAATTTGATTGTTCTTAACAAACACTAAGTACTTCTTATAGTTATTTTAAGTACTTAATATGCCAAATGCTGTTCATTATTATTTATAAGTTTTCGTAAATGCGTCCCCGCTGCTTAGGCAGAAATTATCCAAACATTTACAAATTTAGGAAAGTTGCTTGCAGCACTCGCAGAAGTGTATATATATACCAAGAAGAAAAATAAAACTAGAAGAAGAAGATGCCATCACTGGAAAAATGATTTTATTTTCCCGAAAATTCGGATTCAGTCGAGAATCCTCAATCATAGGTAACCGTAAAAGGCTGTGAGACATGCACAGATTGCGTAGTATTTATAGTTCTTAACGGTCATCCACATTCGTACTATAATTATCAACTGCCGTAACGACCGGTTGGGGTTTTAATTGGTGCGGTGATGGCTTGACACTTCGCTTTCGACTTCGCCGCGATTTCGTTGTCCGTGTCGGATGCGGGCTTGATAATTGCGCGATAATTATGTTCGCTGTCGCTAGAGTTGTTGCTGGGTCCGGCCCTTCCCAAGTGACTGATTCTCTTGCTCAGGCATTATCTCAGAACGCAGTGTGAAAATGGCCCTTTTTGATGGACTGTGGGGCTGAGAACCACGACTTGAGCAGCTTGTTGATGCATTGTGGTCCTGAGGACCACGACTCGAGCAACTCACGGCTTACGCGGTTGTCACCACTTGCGAGGATTTCCACCTCGTTAAACTGCAAAATATAGCCGGGTTCCATAGAGTGAGCTGCAAACTGTGAGTTATCGTCGTTCTTATTCACCACCGTTGTGTGCTCTGCCATTTGCGTCCGGAGTAATCTTCCAGTTTCTCAGGCGTAGTTGCTTTGTCGACAACTGCACCAGATCCGTCAAATGACTGCAGCCGTTTCCTGCCGTGGCAGTGGGTCTTTCGGTCTCATGAGCCGGCGCCTGATGGCTGCTTCTGACGTGTGCGTGAGGAAAGTGGAGCTCTTGGTCCACTGATCGGATCTTCTTCTGAACTGCTTCCTGGAGCTCGCATATTCGCTTCCATCGAACATTAAAACCCTTGGGGCGGATGCATTGATGAGACCGACCTTTCGCTGCTTCGTGAAGCAGTGTCATTCTACTTGTATTCCATTTAAAACACAAGCATAACGATTTAAATATTTTTTTCGAAGTTGGGAGTTAACCGGTTGGGCTTTGAGAGTTTTTGGATGACAAT